AGGGGGGGGTTCTCTCCGTCTCACACCTTGCTGCATGTGGGAAGCCCATTTCGGACACGTCCTTAGAATACGGACTTCGGTCGTCATACACCTATTTTCAGCTAACACTGATCAGATTACCCAACTCACGTTTTTGTATGTTTTTTCCCAAAGCGTCAACTATAGTGCCGACCCCTGTGAGCTGTCCATGTGAGCCGTTCATCACTGAGGCCGCCTTTGCCATCATCGTCGTCTGTATCATTGTTTGTTTCTTGCTGCTTCTTGCCGCTGTGGTTGTCAGGGAGCGAAGACAGCATCACGGCTACACCCCTGCTCCGTCTGGGACCACTCCTCCTATTAACCTTGCCCCTGTTACGTCATAGCGGTAGGTTTTTAAACCAATTAATCGCCAGGAAACTGTTCAGTTGTCTGTGTCAAAATGGAAGCAGTAGGAAAGTTGTAAAATAATGATAGTAATAAACAGAGCCCCTAATCAAATAAGAACAGTGGCAAAAAAGAAGAAAAGGCCCCCCCCCCAAAAAAAGTTTGCAGCTATTATCACAAGTGTTGACAATTTTTAGTTGTGCATGGACAATTACATAGACTTTACTTGAAAACAGTTGACGTGTCATTTGGTACTGGTTTCACTTTGGAGGTCCTTCAGGGTTTAAGGTTGTTTGCTTCTTTTTATTTACTTGTTGCTCGTCATAACTAAAAAAGTTGTAATCAAACAAATCGATAAAGTATTTTAATCGGATATATTGCCCTTGTTTACAACAAAATTGTTTTGAACACAACGTCCGATTGTGGGATGGTCAGTATGATAAAATGTGTGCTACAAACTTAGTATTGATTAAACAGTCCGGGTGTACCAGCTATTGCTTATGAGCAGCTTCTTCCAACTTTGAAATCCTAATTTTAGTTACAGGTTTTGCCCTTACCCGACGTATACATTTCTAAACACTTGTGTGCTCAGTGCTTGTCTGAAAGCTTGTGCGAAAAAACTAACTATTGAAACCATTAAAACCAAAACGATTTGTCAGCTCTTATGAATTCTAGTGCGCAACAATCTCCATTCATGCGCAGACATTAGAAACTCTTGGTTAGAAAACAATGGCCTTCTTTTTGCTTTCCTTTTCTCTATGATTAGTATCCTTTTCATTGCCAGGGATATTTTAACCACATTTCTTTAGTTCAGTCAAAGGCTTCTGAAACTGTTTCATTTGGATGACTTTATTCTCAATATTCACCGATTATTTGACAAATACTGGATCAAAAATATATAGTTTTTGAAGGATAGTATTTGTCAAACCATTTCTGTGACTTCTTTTAACTAGTACCATACTTTTCCTTTGCAGTAAACACTACTATTGACTTTAAACACCCAGGGATTGTCCGTGCAGCATTAAATTGTGCTAAGGAATGCATTTGCGGTAGACGTTTATTTAAACCTCTGAACAGGTGTGCTAAGGAATGTATTTGCGGTAGACGTTTATTTAAACCTCTGAACAGGTGTTTGAAATGTACCTCTTCTATTTTAGCTTAATTATAAACAGGAATTTATGTTTTTCCCATCTTCTTGCCCATTATCATTGAATTTCAAAGTTAAAATGAAAAGGAACAAGGGAAACTAGGTACATTAAGATATGTTCATTTCAACTTCATTCTATATTTTTGTACATTTCTAATGAGTAAATGTTTTAAATTTCCATGTTCCATTTTTGACTCATTACAAACTTTATGGTTTCTCACAACTTCTTGCCATTATCATCAGGTGTCTGAAATTCATCTCTTCTGTTTTTGACTCATTATATACGTGAATTGTAGGGTTTTCCAAACTTGTCCATTACCATTGAATTTCAAAATTAAAATGAAAAGGAACAAGGATAACTAGGTACATTAAGATATGTTCATTTCAACTCCATTCTTTACATTTGTACATTTCTAATGAGTATTTCAAGATGGCAACAAATGGACAACTTTCGAAAATGTTCAAAATAGTTTTCCTGCAATTATCCACATCAAATGTTTATGCAGTTTTTTGTAAGACACAAATTGTTTAACATGCCTTAAAGGCAGCTTTGTTTTTTTCAAACTGTGGTCGGTGTTAGACACAATCAAACTTGAAATCAACAGAAATTATACAGAAATATGCTACTTAGATGTGCAATTTTATACTTCCATTTTGGCACCCATGGGGGACTTTTCTGTGTATTTAACCTCTCAAGGCTTTTCTAATGCATGCTTGTAAAATAATAATCGTAGCGTTTTCAAAGTACGGTTTAGTGTGTGGTTAATACTGTACAAAATAAAAATTGCAAAACGCAATTTATGATTAGCCCATCTGAAATGTGGCAGACAAAATAGGAGGGCTTTCTGGTTTGGGTAATCTATTTTCTGTTTGCTCAAACTTCGCCCACTTCAATCAGCTCCCTCTGTTTGTGTCGATTATTGTCGTGGTGAAAGAAGACAACTTTTGTCAACTTCCCCTGTCGTTTCTTTTGACAGCTCCACACAGCTGCTCAGAAAGTAGGTAAATTACACCCAGTTACTAGTCATTTTGGAAGGTGCCGGGTCGTCCAAAGACACATCTTCCTGGGCATCCTAAAAAACTGGGAGTTCAAATAATCTTCGCCTTCTCTGGAGGACTCCATGTTTCTTTGTCTTTATTGGGATCACACACTAGTCTCTTGATTGTGTGCCATTAATACGGTTTCGTGAATTGCCTGGATGTGTGCTAATTTGTGGCAAACTTGATATCATGTAGCACAGTGTCTGTGTCTATGGATTAGGTTGAATGTGCTTCACAATACGGCCATTTCACAATAGTGCGCCACCAAGAGTTTGCAACGCGTTGGCCAATCACAATGCGCGAAATTTGTCGACCCATTGCGCGGTTGGAAAGGGTCGACAAATTTTGCGCGTTATGATTGGCCAACGCATTGCAAACTCTTGTTGGCGCACTATTGTGAATCGCCCGTATTCCAGACAGTATTGGTATATCTGTGCAATGTATTTGCCGGTAGGTATTGTAATGACATTCTGTGTAGCGAAGTCAGTCGGCCTAGTATGTGTCAAAATTTGAAGTGAATTCGCGTTCAGTGTGAACACTGCACACGTTTACGTTATAAACTTGTAGAACTGATTTACAGCTTAGTAGTCTTAGCATGCATAGCCATTTTCTTGCACGTGGTAGAGATTTGGTATCGTGGAAGGATTTGAAAGACAGTAACATTTGGGTGGGTACTGTCAACAGAAAATGTTGCTTTAAACCTATTTTAATCAGACGCCAATGAAAATGAGTTTTATGTTCATATTATTATGATTATATGGACAGGCATGTTACTATGTTGTTCGAGTAATATTGATTTTGTTATTGCTGTTATCAACAAAAAATTGTGTTGTACCTCAACGAAGTGGAGATCGGTAGCGATTAAAAATACATATATTGCTTATTATAGGCCTATCAAATTAATATTCCGTAAAACTGTTGCCAATAGAAGGCCTATAATAATGTTAAAAAGACAATCGGACATTTTTGTGAGATGAAAACTAAGCCTTAAGTCGATTAATTATGATAAAGTATTTTATTTTATTTTTGAACGAAATTCCAATCGTTCAAAGGAACCAGGAAATGAATTATCACTTTTTGTGTATCTCTGTACTCTTCTCCAGTGTATGAAGAGTGTTCGACATCTTTTTTGAAAAGTGAACTGAACACTGTGGATTATTGATACCTATACCTGACACATACTCCTAAATGTCTGAAAAGAATTCCTCAAATTCCACTGAAACAACATAAAGCAAGGGGGTGGTTCTCTGCGTCTCACATCTTGCTTTATATGTTGCTTCCAACGGGTAGATAAGGTATCCCCCAAGCGCTAGCTTGGCGATTATACAGCTGTTTATGTAGTAACAATACAATAACAGGCCTGAGTTGAGGGTTTTTATGGAATGACTGGAGAAGGTTAAAACAGTCGTTATCAGGAGGGCAAAAAAGGTCCTTTTTTGATGAATTTGAGTAAAAATGTGCACAGTGATACGCACGCATGCGTTTCCTGAATTTTATGTTCTTTAGCAAATTTTTATAAAGTAGTTTAATCGGATGGTTTGTCACAAACTCAATTTATGCAGAGCAGTTCCCGCGGCTGTATGAGCAATACACCGTAAAACCATGTGCTTAGAATCTAAACCCTAATACAAACGCAAAAACGTAACACGTTCTTAACACTGTGACGTGTTTTTTTTTTTTAGTAAACTGCGTTTAGAGCTGTAACATTATACATATAGAGGTTAGCGTGCTTTAATTAACTTGTATTAATACTGCCTGGCATGTACATGTAGAGGTCCTACGTGTATCTGTGTCATGGATCTGCCTACGCATTAGTAGACACATACAGACATATCTGAGAAGTTTATTTAAAAACTATTTCTTTTTTAATGTTACGTACTGTTTTGTTAAGATGAACAAAGAAATTGACTGGAGTAGGATTCGAACCTGCGACCTCTGGAACATCGCACTAGTGCTCTTCCAACTACGCTATCCAGCCCTACATTTGAGGCTCTTCCCGTTTGTCAATGTCTCTGTTCGGGGGGGGGGGCGCTAGTCCAGTCAATTTCTTTCTTTCTTTTTATAATAGGTTAGTGTCTTACATACCTATAATGTGGACCTGTGAACACAGGAAAGGTTATCCACACACAAAGTGAAGATTGTGTATGTCAGCCTCGTTGAAGCCTTCTCCAAGGTTGAGTTCGGGCGGCCTGTTCTTGACACGGGTTTCTTGTTCTCGCGCTCGAATGGCGGGAACACGACTCAAGAGTGCTGCTCTTGGAACAGGATCACACACTACCTCCTTATCAGAGTTACACAGGAAAACACGGGAAAACTCGTGAGAGTTTGATTTTTGAACGGCAAAAAGTAGAGAGATGGCTTCCAAAGCCAGAGATAATGGGAAGTTTTGCAAAATTAATATTGGTTATTTTCCATAACACAGAAATGACTGTTTCTCTATAAATAGAAAAGAATTCAGCCCATCCAAACATTAACTCTCGAATAATAAACGTAGCCTACATGGGCGCCGCCATGTTGCATGCTGCTTGTCACTAACTACCAGCGATAACCGGTTGTTTGTTCCTGGCGTTCGAGCGCGATCCACGAACAACAAAGTGTGTTGGTAACCTAGGCAAAGCTGTCCGTTATTGTGCTAATATTGCGCATGGAATTATGCTACTTGATATTACTTTTCAGTTGACATTCCATTTATTTTTTTGTAGAGGCCTATCATTCTATTTATTTTCTGCATTCTATTTATTTTCTGCAGGGCCCAGACGTTTTAGCCTACATTAGCCCGCTTTTTGGGTCTAATTTTGTAATTTTAATTTTCAGTGTGCTTTAATTGTGGTGTTTGAATGCTTAAAATAAAATACTTTTTAAAAATGTTAATTGTATGCCGTTAAGTCAATTTCTATTTACACAAGTGTTGTCCAACGTGTTTGTACAATTATCAGTGGAGTAGCCTGAGCATACCTTGGGGGAAGGGGTTCCCCTAAATATCTGGTAACAAGCATCTTTACCCCATATAGGCCTACGTCCGCCTATTCCAAAGTGCCCCTTTTGCCATTTACTAATGTTGTATGCCCACACAGACGGTTGTCAATATTGTGTAGCATATCATTCCACGTTGAACAGCACTCTTACCCCTTTGCCTCGTTTTCGATTTTATGGATATTGGGGAAGGCATGCACGTAGGAACCTGGGGCCCGTAGCCCCCCCCCCCCACAAGTTGTGTAATTTGAATTCTCGGAGTGGGGAGTATTTGTAGCAGTGTATGGTAATTTTAGTCAGATCACATTGGAAAAATAGAAATTGTAGAAAGATTTCTGGTCCCCCAGGAAAAATTATTTTCCTACGTGCCTGTGCTGGGGAACCAGTGAATAAACCCCTGCTTACCTTTTACGAGAGATACCCTTATCAACCCACCCCCATCAGTATAAGATTGCTAGGCTACAAATTCTAACAACCAAAAAGCTGGCTATGCAAGAGAAGTGTAATAAACAGGAAAACAACATCCTGTGCCCTGCTTTCTGATATAAACGTAAATGTTGGTGGCGGTAGCTTCTATTATACATGTCAAGTTCGCAGTGAAAGCTTATATTGCGTATACATACAAAATATCTCTACAAACACTTTCAATAGGCCTAAATATACTTTGCTGAGTAAGTTGAGACACTGAACTTCCGGTATACTGTGTCACTGGGTATTTTTATAATATATTTATTATTACTTAACTGAACCTCGTGCAGCAGAGTTCATCAAGAAAACAGAATCAGTTAGAGGAAAGATTGACATGTGGGAAGTTGACAGAGGATGAGTGCTAAAACATCTGCTAAGTGTTGACCCTTGAAAAGGGACCAACAAAAAATGGCGCCTCGATCGTAACCCTGCCTAGAAAAACTAATTATTGAGATCCATTGTGTTTGGACAAGGTACCATAAATGCTCAACCATTAAGCGCTGATACTAAGCATAATCCAAGTGACTTAAACCCGAGATTTACTTGAGATCTTTGGATCCGTCAGTTGTCATCGAGCTCTGGTCGAATGATGCTCACATTCTGGTACGTTGTTCGGATCCGGTGCCATAATGTCTGAAGGGCAAAAACGAATATTGAAAACATTAAATTTACAACTCCAGAAAAGATTTGATTTTTGTTTGAAAACCAAACCTTGTTTGGGATCCAAGCCCCCATGCAATGTTGTTTTACAGTGTTTGATCACTCACGTACATGTAAGTTCAAGCCCCATTGAAAAACGGTGTAAAATCAGCACCGTTCAGGGCCCAATAACATGCACGCCAGCATCCCTTAGATTTCTCAAACACAAATGAAATTCTTGCCTTGTTACTAAACTTTCAATTTCTTTTCAATTTTTTGTGGGTTAACCAATTACATTTTTAACTGTTCCCACAAAACAAAATTAACCCCAAAAGGGTGATTTTGCGAAGTCTGATTGCAGCCATTTTTAAGTGGCAACCCTCGACTTTTTCGGGCACTAGGACCATTTTTCAACCGTAGTTTTTAGCCATTTTGCTCTCTGAAAGCTCAAAGACTCAGGGATTGATCCTGGCAAAGATCTACACAGCCTCACCATTTTGGGGGCCAAACAATTATTTCTTTTTTTTTTCAAAAGATACTGAGGGGCACTTTTAATGCTAATGAGCTGGCCAGAAATTCTCACTTCATGAATTAGTAGACTGCACCTTCGTGCCAACACATCCTGCATGTTTTGCGTCATGATCTATTTATATCTGTAGGCGATACCCGATTTTATCAGGATTTGTCCGGGAGTCAATCTCTTGTCTAGAGCTAGGTCTAGGTCCATTGGAAATGCGTGGACAATAGACCTAGCCGTAGCTCTGGAAGCCCGTTTCGGACACGGTCAGGGAACCAGACTAGCCTTTTCGTCGTGCCCCGCAAGGTAAAGTTGTCGACAAAGTCTCATTCGCAGTAACCAGACTGCGCTGTGCGCGGGGAACTTCAATTTTTTTCCGAATGTGTTGTTTATTTTGGTTGAAAATTCGAAATTCCTTATTGCAAATGGGTGTTCAGTTGTCAAAACGATGGTTTCTGTGTGATGCAACGAAGACTCAATTAATGAAATAAAATTTCCCCAAAGTTTTGTACCAAACTGCGCTCAATCGTGGCAGCGTGTCGACCGTAAACTTGAAAAGTGGCCTAGGCCTACATTTATCCGGAGAGGAAACCCTTGGTGGAGCACTGTATTGTGAATCGCCCGTAAGAAACCACTGTGTACAATCTTGGAAGGTAGTTCCATGTTACAATGTACATGTATGTAAAGTCCTTTTGTGGGAGATTAAGCGCTCAGTGCCTACGATTTGCAAAATCTTATTCAATTTGCCTGGAAAAATGGTACATGGGCCTTCATGTAGGCCTAATAAATGAAGGCTGCATCTCGAAGGCCTGTTATCTTTTTACCTCGCAAGTCATCATGGGTACCATGTAATCCCACGCATAGGGCTGTGTCGTCTGGCCCTCTTTTACAATCTGTCTCTTTTGTGTCGCCACTACTGAGCCTCTACAGCCCTTCGTGTGGGGCTGAACCTGGAGTGAGAGTCCGTGCCACACTCGTGGGGCTAGGGCTAGGGTACCATGTCATTTTGTGACAGGCTTGGATATTTGTGTTATGTAACACCGAACACCAGATAACAATTAACAAAGAAGTGTATTATTTTGAGCAGTTTTCTATCTAAACTTACATCCTTGCATGGGGATCGTGCTTTTCTGGTTACCATCGATGATGTAAATCACAACTCGTTTGTTCCCGCAGGCCTACATGTACATGTACGTAGTCGGTCACCAAAACCTCATCAGGCTGTCGAGCAGCAGTGCCCGGTGCTGTATAGAATTTTCCTGGACCACTTCCCTTGCTACCGAACACACATCGCAGCTCCCACTTTGCCCAGACTGATGTCTCTTACACTCCCCTATGGGCTTGAACTTCAGAAATCCAGGCCTCTTGTCAACTCTGGGAATAATGCGAACTGCCAACACTGTCAAGTCTTTGTTGATACAAACTTGATTGTTGCATAGAGTGAGAGGAACTCACTATCCGCTGCCGTCCTTGTCACCTCTCTTGCTGTCTCCAATGAATGTTGTATTCTCTCCGACGCCAAACTCATTTCTGCCAGCTTTTGCAAACAGTCTGTTTGAATGTTTTCGATGTCATCGATGATGCGACATCTGCCATGACTCTCTCCGCTTTAATATCCAGGTCGCGTTTCATTCTTGAAACTGTTTCACAAGATTCATGGAGTTCGTTCAGGGTTTCTTCCAAAGGAGATACTGCCACTACTGTGGCTGACAGGTGTGGACTACCTGTCATCTGAACTCTACCCCTCAATCTGTCTGCCTCAGGTGGCCCTGCTTGGAGTATTTGCCTCGAGTAGAAGCCCCATCCCTCCTCATCGTTGTGAGTGGGGAGTGTTCAGTAAGTGCTGTCTTGTTGGTAGCAATGCGACTGTGATGTGTGTATTTCAAAGTTGTTTGTAGACCAGGAATTGCCTTCACCACCAAGGGAATCAACACTGTGAAGGAAATTGGGCGCCCTCTCTTGGCCCTGTGCAGGGCAGTTTGGGACTCCAGTCAGCATAGCTCTCGGGCTGACTGAAGAGGACACTCTGAGGGGAGCAGTCTGTAGCAATGCCTCAGAGTTCTCCAAAATACCATCGCTTTGCACTGTTCCCCTTGTTGTACATAAACCACAAATTGGGCAAATCCTACGCTCCCACAATGCATTCTGAGTCCCCAATGCATTCTGGATGAGGACCACTCCTATACTCAGGATTCTGAGTTTGTAAACTCAAGATAGATCATATCTTTTCTGTGACCAGTCTTCATGTGGCAAATACAGTAACCAGAAATTAACAGTTTCACACTTAGGAGAGCGTTACCACTTGTCACTTGACCTTTGTCCCCGTCCCCACCATAGCAGTACCAACCCTACTTGATCTCCCCTGAATTATCAGAGTTTAGGCAACCATCATCCTCTGTGACACCTGTGATGCTTCCTGGCAGTTCAACATTTCTTCTTCCTGTTGGCTGCAGGAAATGACCTTTTTTTCAGTTGGAACGTCAAGCCCAAATGAACTCCACCACATCTTGGGCCAGAATTCTCCTGCTATTTTTTTGTTCTGATGGTTTGGAACTTTATCTGAGGAAGGAACATCTACAGGTGCGCCATTTGCTTTTGAGATGAAAATATTTTATGATCATCTCCAACAATGTTGCATTTGCACGTACTGTAAACACTTCCAGGTTTTTCACATAGTTGAAATTTTCCATAAACATTTCCGTTACTGCCCCTATGGCTAAAATCCTACTGAAGTTGAAATAGTGTTCCCTCTCTGCCGCACTGTCAAAGAAATGGTTTATCAAGAGGGGCCCGCCCGTGAAATTTATGGGGGTTCAGCATTAGACCTAACATAATGATGTAATGCAATGTTTACCAAGGTGCATTGTGGGTAAAAAGTGGGGACAACAGTGCGAACGCTATTGCTAGAACATCGTGCGCATGGAAACGTGTCAACATGGATAGTGAGATTAAGACCTATAGTTCTCAAAGTGGTTTGTGTTAACTGTTGTTTGCCATTAGATTGTAACAAGCACATGACAAAACGCCAGAGCTGCATTTTTTCAAGCTCCAAAGAGACCGCAAGTTTGCTCCGTCTAACGCCCTAATTTTCACCTGCAGTGCATTGCGGTAAACACTGCATTACATGTTCTTCATTGTGTTAGGTCTACTCAAGTTGTAAGTTCTGTTGAGCTCATCAGGATAAAAATAGTTGCCCTACAGTGTCTTTGGAAAAATGAGATTGTTTGGCCTTAAAATAAGAGGGGTTTGGGAAAGTGGAAGTGGAACAGTTGATAAAATGGCAGATGAAAAAACAGTTCACAGCTCCCGAGAAAGTAGAAGGATACCAACTTCAAAATGGCTGTAGAGCTTTGGAACTGTCACGTAGTTTGCGTGAATAATGAAAAATGTAACTGGCAAACCAACCAACAGTTGAGAAGAAATGAAGGGACTAGGGACAAAACAATACTAAATTTTACATTGTTTCCAATGGTTATAGGGACTATACCCTTGTAGTAACAAGTACCCATGTATTGTTTCCAATGTGGCTTGGATACATCCTTAAGGATTTTCTCCACCAGCCCTTGATCGTTTGGTATCTATCATTTGTTCAACAGAGAGACGCCATCCCCAGAGCCTACAGGATGCATGCCATCATCATCCTTGGATTGAGACCAACCTATGGCTGCAGATTCCTCCTGGATGTGTCTGGTACCAGCTGCCCTCGGTAGATCCTCTTCCACTACTCCAAGGTTGACATTCTCACTTTTAGGGGCAGATTTGATTAAGGACATATTGTTAACCATAGTTCCACTAACTCTGATTGAATGTACATGTACGCTAGTCCATGGTTTGACTAGCCTTGTCACCTTACATGGTCCCGTTTTCAATAGTTTAGTGTCAAGAAGTCCAGTTATAAGAAAAATAAAAAAAAAAAACAGTATGTCACTAGCAAATGAGCATTTTCACTTTTATTTTTGATATTCATCCCTTCCTGTGGCCACCTTTTTTCCCCTTCATTCAATGACCTGACAACGGTTGACCAGAGTCGTTTGCACTTCAACTTCACTGCACACGTGCTAGGTATGTCACAATTCTCACAAACCTACCACAAGTTAACCAGTAGTCCTTAATCGAACTTACCCTAGTTTGCTCTTAATTCGTTTTTCTTTCAGAGTACATGCACATGTGTTATGGGCCAACCAGCAATTAATTTGACCCAAGGGGATTCAGTTACACACATGTTCAAATGAACACAGCAACATCAACCTTTCAACCCAGTCACTGAGTCCAAGCGGGATTTAATCCGACATTGATTTTGTTACAGTATCCTGCTTATAGCAAGATATAGCAATTGTAGGTTTCATTAAATCTTTGCTGTCTTTTTTTTCCCAACATCACAAGGTCCCTGTTACTACAGTACAAGGTAGTAGTCCCAATAACCTTGTTACATGTCACAGCCACTGGTTGCATCACGAATGGACCTACATGGATATATGCAGTTGGTGCACCACGAACTATGGACAAATTCTGGACTGTGCATCACTTTGTCAGCGTCATTTTGTGTTCATAAGTGACATGCCACTTTGTGATGCAACCAATACAAAGGCATTCGATTATATTGGGCCTCGACAGGTCAGGTGCATGATTGAGGGGAATTCTGTCCTGTGCAGCATTTAGGTAAATGCTGACATCTTGAATTTCCTTTTATATTCACAGCATTGTTACCTGATTGTAGAGTGACATGATTGAGTATCCTGACTCGTCTACCTCTGTGCTTGCAGTACTTGGTAATGTCCCGATGCTGACACCATACGGCACCAGTTGGAGTCACAAAGCACTGTGCAGAAAGTACACTGGAGTTTGCAGGGGTGAGATTTATCTATATTGTTCCTCATTTCAGATTTTTTCATCAGTATTTTCCCAAAAATCTCTTTTAAAATCTGGAAAATCCTGAAGTTTAACGTTTGGGTGTTTTTGCATGTAAAAGTTGAAATATAGAAAACGAGGAAGGTGTGACAAACACAGAGACACTACACTGCTAATGTTGACCCCCGTTCACTGGCTCTCTGTGCTCACCTTCCCCCCAATCATGTTCAGCTTTCCAGCATGGTCCATGGTTAGACCCTCGTGTTAGA